GGGTCCTGGGATCGAGTCCCGCATCGGGCTCCCTGCTAGGTGGGGAGCCTGCTTCTCCCTCTGCCTCTGCCTCTCTCTCTCTGACTCTCATGAATGAATGAATAAATAAATAAATAAATAAATAAATAAATAAATAAATAACAAACATTACTCCATTTTCCTCTTAAAATCAGATTTCTCAAAATTGACACTAGGTGCAATATAATTCTTGTTCCTTTGTAGGTGATCTGCTCTTTGTCACAGGAAGCTTTTAGAATTCTGTCTTTGTCTTTGATACTATGTCACTATATGGGCCCAAGGGTGGGTTTTCCTTCCCACTCACACACAGAAGTCGTTAAGCCCTTTCAGACTAAGGTCTTCTGTTAGTCTTTAATTCTGAGAAACTGATCTTAATTATTTCTTCAAATATTTTCTCCTCCCTTTTTGTTCTCTCTTCTAGGATTCCTATTTACCTGGATAGAAACTTCTACATCCAACTTTCATGCCTCTTGACTTTTATTCTATGTGTTCTCTTTATCATTTAATGTTGCATTCTCAGTTTTTCAGCATCATCTTCCAACTCATGAGTTTATCACCTGTACACCTTCAACCATCATCCAGTCTACTGTATTCTTTATTTTTACATTTTTCATACCTAATATTTCTACTTGGTTCTACACTGTTATGTTTTCTTGCTTTTGCATAGTATTGTTATATTTTTCTAATCTCCTGAAATAATATTTGTCAAGTTTATTTTTAATTCTTGGTCAATCTTTTCCAAAAATTCTCTATCAGATGGTATATGTTATTCACTCAGTTGTCTTTGAGAGTAACTGTACTATTCAGGTGACTAGTTTGGCTATAAACTAATGTTTTTCTGGGGAACCAGTCACTCTGTCTAGTAATATATATGGTTACCAGACCTCATTGTATCCAACCTGGTGAAATTAAGAGGAGAGGAGAGTGAGCCCCAGAGCAAGGAGTCGCAGGGACCTTAGAACTCCTGCTATTTACTCCAATTTGCTGGGCATTCCAAGACATTTCCTCTCATTTAAACTCAGGAAGAAACAACACTGGGAACAGTCTTCCTAGGTTGAAACACACCAATGGGAGCTTGGGAGGGGAGAAAAAAGGTAGTTATCTATCCCCTATGGACAGTTAGGCCATACCCATTTATATTAATGCCATCAGAGCCCTAGCAGATCTTTTGAATAATCATGGAAGCCTGGGCCACTGCTGCTCATTTCTGTGGGGAAAGAACAGGGAAAGACGGTCTCAAGGCAGCACCAGAGAGAAATAACAATAGAACTATTTTAATAGCCTTCCAATCTATCTTCTCACTGCTTCCTCACACAGCCCTTAATCCCAGGCTACAGCCACCACCCCCACACACACGGACTCACAAGAGCCTTAGTCTCCCCACATTTCCCTCTTATTCCTCCAGTTTCTTCAGAGTTGATCTTGGGTGAAGGAGTCAACAGCTGGGACTAGTTTGGTAGGAAATGCAAATTGGCCTAGAAACTATTTTCTTTGTCAATGGTGTAGAACTTTTGTTCAATTTCAACCACTCATAATCCAGTTCAGAAATGAGACACAAGGGGCGCCTGGGTGGCTCAGTCGGCTGCATGTCTGCCTTCAGCTCAGGTCATGATCTTGGAGTCTGGGATTGAGCCCCGCATTGAGTCTGCTTCTCCCTCTGACCCTCCCCATCTCATGCTCTCTCTCTCTCACACTCCATCTCTCAAATAAATAGTCTTAAAAAAAAAAAAAAGAAATGTGATGCAAAATGAAAGGTTAAAATTTGTTAGTACAACATCGTATTACCATAAAATTTACCCTGAGGCATCTAGTTTAGAGAGTAATGATAAGTACTTCCTAATTCTTTCATGGACACATAACAACCCTATCTTCATACCTTTGAAAACACATTTTATTTATTTTTTCTAACTTTTCATTAACCATGGATTTATAAAGCATTGTGTATAAACTTTTGGATAAATAAAAAAAAAAATCCTACTATTTTACTATAGTTCCTCTGCTCACCAACATTTTTAACCTCTAAGTGTCTTTAAGCACCACGATCCCCAGTCCTCTACTGCAGATCTAGACCATGGCAGGCACTCTCAAACACACATGTACAACTATTAGCCTCAAGCCAATCCAAAACTATGCAGAAATAGAGAAGTTAGCAGATAGGATGCATTTTCAACAACAGGCAAGAAATCAAATGGACCTAACAAGTGAGGTGGGGAGGAAGAAAAAGAATGGTGGACAGTTGATAAGACTTGGTTAATAAATGAATTTGGTTGTTCCCTATAATAAGGGTGTCAAAAAAGCTAATTCAACCTTAAATTTCATTGAGGAATACAATATCTAGTACCAAGGAGGTAATATTTTTTATCTATTCTGTACTGGCAAGATGATATCAATAATAATTTTCAGTTCTCAACACCGTACCACATGCTCTGGAGGTCAAAATCTTTTCCATTTTTGCCAATATAATGGTTGGGAAAAATGATATCTTTTAAATTTGTATTTTTCTGACTACTAGTATGATTGACTATCTGCCAATAAAGAAATGCAAACAGCTAATAAACTCTTCTTTCTGAGCTGCCTGTTCATATTCTTTATCAATTTTCCTCAGGTTATTTCTTTTTTTATAATCAGTTTCCAGAAACTCTCTGTATTTTCAGGATTCTCACCCTTTCTCAGTTATGCGTTACAACTATTTTCACTTAGCCTATCATTTGCAGTTAGCTTTTATTTACAGGGGCTCTTCTACATAACTTAAAAAAAAAAATGTATGTAGTCAACATTTGTTGGTTTTTGCTTGACATGTTCTTTCCTGTTCTGTCTTTTCCAGCACAGAGAATACAAACATTAAACTCACATATTCTTCATTTTTTCATATTTTGACCAACTTTATTTTCTCCTACTTGAAAATTTATTGGACCAATACCCTTTAAGTTAAAGTAAGCTTTTTCCCTCTGAACTGAATTGCCACTTTGATAGTATTTTTTAAGTTCCATAATTACTTGTAACACCTGGATTTTATTCCTTTTGGTTGCCTACTCTTGGGCCAATACCATGCTGTTTAATTAGAGAAGGTCTGTGGTAATTTTTAATATCTAGGTTTCCTTACTCTTATTCTTTCCTCAGTTTTCTAGAATGTACTCATTTAAAGGGCACTTTCTCTAGGGACAGATAAGATGGAACTAGGTACAAACTGTAAGATGTATGTATTATCTTACAACTAAAAAAAATGTAGTTAATAAGCAAATAGAAGAGTTTTAATTCAATTCCATACAATAAATAAAAGTTAAAAAGCAGAAAATAATCACATGGACAAATGCAACTGACACATATGGCAGAAATTATACCTCACATTTGAGGTTAATAACAAGGCACTTTACAGTGGAGGAAACTGAGGCATAGGTAGGAAATGGAAGAGAGTGTTAGGCCAAGAATCTGACTAATGGTAAAAACAAAAAGAGAAAACATCTAGTAAGGGAGGAACAGGGACCAAATAAGATGGAGTTCACTAATATTTTACCTGTCTGATCCCACCCACACAAAGGTAAAGAAATAAACTGGATAAACAGATAAGCAAAACAGAAATAGAAACTGATCATTCTACAACTGGTCACAGCCAACCGTCCACCTAGCCAAGAATAATGGTTCAGTGTAGGTGAGGCAATAGTTATGCAAATAACTGTAACAGTTCTAGTCTAAGGCTTGTTCTTTTGATTTTCAGAGATTATGAATCCATTCACAAATAGCAATAGAGAACATAAACATTCTGTGCTTTTGCCAGCATAGAAGGACCCCAAGCAGTCTATTTCCCAATTCCTATCAAAAACAAATTTGAGGGGCACCTTACTGGCTCAGTCAGTGCAGCATGCAATTCTTGATCTCAGGGTCGTGAGTTCAAGCCCCACGTTGGCTGTAGAGATTACCAAAAATAAACAAACTTAAAATATATATATATTGTATATAAAACAAACAAATTTGAGTCCTCTGGTAACTACTGGAGGTATAAATGTGGCTATCATACTTCCTACTCTGAAACCCACCAGTGAGCCAAGAGAAACAAACTTTCATAAAAATATGAAATAACCCTAAACCACAGATCAGAAAGTATTCTATCAAATATAATACAATTTGAGACAAGGTAATAATGAGTATCATGAGCCAAAATATACCTCTACATATCCAAGCAATGTTGGATTTTTCTGAAAGTAACAGAAAAGGTCTTAAAATTTTTAATTGAAACAAAGATAAAATGAGGGTGTAGACAAATTATAGGAGAGTGAGCAAATATTCCTCTGAGGGTATATTTCAATATGGAGGAAGGGCAAGGGACATGGAGATAAAGAAGAGATTATGCCATGTTCATTTTCTCTGACTTCTAAATCAGAGAGCCTGTAAGGGAAGATGCTGTGATAACCAACATTAGTTGAATGGAAAGAAATAAATCTTCAAATCATCAAAGAGATGACCATGTTACATTGAGAGACACAGCGCATTCCGTCCTGGGTGATCTATTCTCCAGAAAGGAGGGAACACCAATGCTTAGGAGATAAAAGATTCTAGGTCAGAGTATAAGAAGTCTCTGTGAGACAAGAAAAGTGAGCTGAACTTCCAGATGCCCCAGAACACAGCCTTCCCCATACTATACTGCAGATAATATCAATAATTAACTGGGCTCTTATCATATTCTAGTCACATATTCTAGGAGTTTACAAATATTAACTCTTTTAAATCCTTAAAACAACCTCAATGAGGTAAGTACTCTTGTTATCTCCGTTTACAGAGGAGGTAAATGAGGGTCAGAGAGGTTAAGTAAATTTCCTATAGTTACATAGCTAGGAAATATAAGGCCCAGAATTGAACCTAAGCACACTGGCATAAAGCTCAGAGTTTTAACTATTATGCTGTACTGTCTCTTCTACTTTAATGTTAAACAGTTAGCAAACCCATAAAGTACACAGAATTTATTTATGCAGGAAATATTTACATACCTTGTACTGTAAACTCTGCTTGAGCTTCAATTGTCTCATTTCCATTATCAGCTATACAAAAGTAAGTCCCCGCATCATCCTCAGTAACATCACTGATCTCCAGACTACCACCTGCCAGCAACACCAATTTTTCAGAGCTGCATAAAAAAATATTGACACATTTCAGAACTAGGAAAATAATAAATACCTGAGAAACTCTCTACATAAAACAGAGAAAACACTTAAAAAGCATTATTATTTATATGGCTATAGAGAGACTAACAAAATTAGCAGAATTTAATTTAGTCCAATTACTCTGCTCATATTTTACATGCATAAATATCACAAACACGAACGAAAATGTTACAATGAATTATCTCTAACACTTATTTTTTCTGAGAGAGAGAGAAAGAGCATGAAGCTTGGGGTTGGGAGGGGCAGGGGAGAGGGAGAGAGAGAATCTGAAGCAGGTTCCACACCCAGTGCACAGCTCAAATCGGGTCTTGATCTCACAATCCTGAGATCATGACCTGAGCCAAAATCAAGAGTCCGATGCTTAACCAACTGAGCCACCCAGGTGACCCTATCTCTGAACACGTCTAATTATTCTCAATACTTTTGTAACCAATTCCACTCCCCACAACCCATCCCTGCCTCCCGACTCTGCCCAGTTTTTCTGCACATGATCTAATTTTGAATTCTGGAATCAATCTGACATTGATTCAGGTACGCCAAATTGAGAGGACAACTGGAGAAGGTAAAATGTCAGATAAGAAATACAAAGTCGTGGGGCCATGATGCCTACTGAAAGTTTCCTGTGGTGGCTTGGCTAGGAAAGGGAGGAAAAGGGACAGGGAAGGGACAGAACACGGTTGCCAGAGAGCAGCAACCTGGATGTGGTTACCAGGTAAGAGCCTGCTATCATGCCATCATCAAGGACACTGACCACTATAACCCAAATCTATACAGTGATTTAAACCTTTTACGGAGAATATTTAAAGAAAAAGTAAGTGATCTTATAACATCGAGGGGTAAAATCACAAATCAATATTCTTATCAAGTTTTTATAAAGCACAAGGTTTAGTTGATTTGGAGTTTGTGGAGTTATAATTTTATTTTTATTTTGAGGTTCTATGTCTAAACTGGTTTTCATAGGCAGATTTTTCTCTCAAATCTTAAGACTGTCACATTTCCTATCTGTAACTATGCTCAACAAAAAATATGACTTTTCATAGAGAATTTCTGATGGGGAAAAAAGAGAGGAAGTGACTATTCAGTCTGTGCCACATTTATAATTCTCATCCTAAGTAAAGAGCTATTCTAGCTTAAATTTCAGTACACTGTGAACCTGAGTAATTAAGCTTCCTGAATCTGATAAACAAGATTAAGTTTCTGGACAAAGAAAGAGGAAAACCAGAATCAGGTTTGGTGGCTTCTCTATGAAATACCCTGCAAGATCATGACTCAACTTTATCAAGTGGCCTTCTAATTTGAAACATCTCTATTAGACCTCAAATCCCAATTTAATGTGATGAGATAGAGAAGCAGTAAACATACCATGGAATAGAGCAAGAACTACTTGGATAAAACAGAGAGATAAGACAGGGTTTCCATGCCTCACAAAATAAGAAAAATTTACAAAATTTAAAATCCTCTATTTCACCCTTAGACAAAATTACTACTAATCTTCAGAAATGGAAAACAATGCTCACGAGTGGAAAATCAGCAATATATACATATGACACCCAGCTGAAGGGAAGATAATTTGAAATACTAGTTGGTATGGTACTTTTGAACTGAGATACAGTAATTCCTACTTAATAATTATACTAAAAAATATTCCTGATACTTGCTTGCCTCATATTTGCCATAACTGAGTGCCGGTACAGAAGTCAATCTTTCTTAATGGAATTGATTTTACTCCCTTAAAAGAAGCCTGGGAGGAAGAATGGCTGTTAGCTTGGCAGAATTCATTTAACTTGTTCACATGATGATGTGAGAGCTTAGAGTAAGATGGCAATCGAGTCTTTAGAACTCCAAAATTCAAAGATGTAAGCAAGAGGAACAGTGTGTGAAAAGTAAGCATGGTCACTGGACCCAAGTCAGGGTGAGTTTTGCTGGGCAAAGGAAATTGTGTGTGTGTGTCGCTGGGGAGTCAGGGCTCGGTCTAGGAGATGGTGCAAAGGAGACTGTTTGTTTGTTTGTTTTGCCAAGGGAAAGGCCTTGAAGGAGATGAATCACACGATTTAGTGAAGGACAAGAGGAATGGGAAAAAGACTAGAAGCAGAAAGTCTGATTGTGAAATTACTGTAATGGTCCAGAACTAAAGAGAAAAAGATGAACTCTGGCAATAACAACAGAGGTAAAAAGAAGGCAAAAAGTATTTTTTGAGAGAGAGACAACTCTTAAAAACAATGGATGATGAAGGTAAGGAGAGGGATTTATCCACTCAGCAAATATTTATTGGTGAGCCTCTATGCGTCAGACAGCAGCTGCGGATGCAGCAGTGAGCAAAAACATAGCCAGTGCTCCCATGCAGCTCAGTGGGAAAGACACACATGAAAGACGGTAATTCCACAAAATGCTACACCAGAAGAACCTAACAGGAAATTAGAAATGAAATTTTTCTGACCAAAGTAACCCTTGAACAGAGATCTGAAGAGTGAGAAGGAGCTAACTAATAATGAGAAGGAGAAAAAGATTTCAGAAAGAAAGACTAGCATATTCAAGGGAACAGTGGCAGAAAGGACCACAGTGTGTTTCCGGATCTGAAAATAACCAGTGTGGCCAAGTTTAAGAGAGAGAAAGATGAGGATGGAGCCAGACCACACAAGGTTTTAAAAGTCATTTTAATAATTTGAATCCTTAACCTAAAAACAATGAAAATCCATTAAGCATTTTTAAAAGTGGGGAGAGGGTTGACAATTATGTCATGAGATCTGAGCTTTGAAAAGATCACTCTGGCAGGAATGTGAGGATGTATCTGGAATGAAGCCAGAGTAAGTATGGGAAGAAAAGGAGAGTCCTGTGGTAACTGAGGTTAACAGCTGACAGCAGCTTGGAATAAGGTGGTTTTCAGAGATAGTTAGGAGGTTCCATGACAGATGTAGATGGATTAGATAGAGAAGCTGAGGAAGAAACACATGTCAAGGAAGATTCTTAAGGTTAGGGTAGTATGTGTGAAGGGGAAAACAAAAGGAAATTTGCTTGTTTAATTTAGTTTCTGTGTGTTGTTACTTGAGTGAGAGAAAGGTAAGCCTTTTTATAGGCAAAAAGAGAAGGAGCCAATGGAGAGAAAAAATTTGAGAAGAAGATTCATAAAAGTGCTGGAGAAAATGGAAAGTAATAAGATTTAGAGCACAAAAGGACATCTCTTCTTTTAAAACAGTAGGAAAGGAAGGGAACAATATTTATTCTCGTTTTTTTTTTCACTAAACTTTTTATTATGAGGTAACTGCAGTTTTAAGAAATAATACAGAGAGGGGACGCCTGTATGGCTCAGTCATTTAAGCGTCTGCCAGGTCTGCTCAGGTCATGATTCCAGGGTCCTGAGATCAGGCCCCACTTGGGGCTCCCTGCTCGGCGGGGAGCCTGCTTCTCCCTCTGCCTGCCGCTCCCCCTGCCTGTGCTCTCTCTCTCTTGCTCTCCCTCTGACAAATAAATAAAAATCTTTAAAAAAAATTTAAAAAGAAATAAAAAGAATACAGAGATGTATTGTATGTACGTCTTTACCAGTGGTAACCTCAGAGAGTACAACATCACAACAAGAATACTGACATTTCCGAAGGGGGGGAAATCGGAGGGGGAGACAAACCATGAGAGACGATGGACTCTGAAAAACAAACTGAGGGTCCTAGAGGGGTGGGGGGTGGGGGATGGGTTAGCCTGGTGATGGGTATTAAAAGAGGGCACGTTCTGCATGGAGCACTGGGTGTTATGCACAAACAATGAATCATAGAACACTACGTCAAAAACTAATGCTATAATGTATGGTGATTAACAATAAAAATTAACAATAAAAAAAAAAGAAAGAATACTGACATTTCCATCACAAGGATCCCTCCTAAGGTCCTTTTACAGCCACACCCTCTTTCTTCCTCCTCCCACCTCTTCATTAACCCCCAGCAACCACTAATCTGTTCTCCATTTCAGTAATTTTGTCATTTCAAGAAGAATATTATATAAATAAAATCATACAGTATATAATCTTTGGGGCTTGGCTTTCTTCACTCAGCATAATTCTCCAAAGATTCATCCAGGTTGCTGCATATATCAATAGTTCCTTCCTTTTATTGCTTAGCAGGAATTCCACAGTATGGATATACCTTAGTTTATTTAACCATTTGCTCAATTAAGGACATCTGGGCTGTTTCTAGTTTGGGGCTGTTAAGAATAAAGCTGCTGTGAATCCAGATATGCAGACTTGTGTGTGAACATGAAGTTCATTTCTACAGGACAAATGCCCAAAAGTGTTAATGTTAGGTCATACGGTAGTTGCAACATGTTAAGTTTTTAAAGAAACTGCCAGTTTTGTGGAGTGACTATACCATTTTCACCTTCCAGCCAGCAATGTCAGAGTGATCGCATTTCTCCACATCCTGGACAGCATTTGATGCTGTCAATTTTTACAAAGTGTAGCTATTCTGATAGGTACATAGCAATATCTTACTGTGATTTTAATTTGCATTTCCCTCATGGCTAACAATGTTAAACAACTTTTCTTGTGCTTATTTGCCATCTTCATCTTTTCCAGTAAAACATTTACTCATGTCTTTTGCCTATTTCTAATTGGATTATGTGCTTTTCTACTGTTGAGTTTTGAAAGATTATACATTTTACACACACTTGTTGAAGATGTGGTTTGCAAATATTTTCTTCCACTCTGTAGTTATCTTTTCATCCTCTAAAAGGGTCTGTCACAGAGCTAAAGTTTTTAATTCTGATGAAATCCAATTTTCAACTTTTCCTTTTATGGATTGTGCTTTCGGTGTCAAATCTAGTAACTCTTTGCCTAGCCCTAGATCCTGGTATTCTCCCATATTTCTTTTCTCAAATTTCATTTTGCATTTTACATTTAGGTCCATGAGTTAATTTTTTATATGACGTGTGAGACATAGGTTGACAGGGGTGAACAACTGCTCTAGCAGCATTTGTTAAA